GCAAGGACGAAGTTGCAAAGGCCGCCAGAAATAGTGCAAGAAGAAACACGAGGTACAGTTGTTTGACTTTGGAATGAAAAGGTGGGCGATGACTTTCGTCTGGGGGTTTTTTGTAACAATTTTCCTTCATTGTATTCTCTGTCTTCTTTTATTTTCCTTGTGTCGGATGTGCGTAGAATATTATAAGGAACTGAAAGACATGTTTCCAGTACCGCGCGAAATCTTACAAGCCACAAATTTGAATGAAGTTACAGCGTAAACGGCAGAAGAAACACAAAACAGAATTAAGCAAATGATAAAAGCGGAAAGGAAGAAATGTCAAAATAATTAGCATGTTGCATTTGGGGTGGGGAGAGCCTATATAGCGAATAGAAGCTGGATGACTGGCGTTCGATTCCCGACAAAGACAAGGTATTTTTCTCATCTCAACGCTATGCCAGCGGTAGCGTAGCTACTGGCAGGGCCTCCCTTGCTGGACAGGTCAAAGGGTAGGCATCAGACGAAGAGAGACACCAAAAACTGATGCCGGAAGCAGCGTCATCAGCAGCGACTTGAAGGACAGAGCAAATGATGCTCGAGATGGTTCAAGTTCGTATAGCAACAGGCGTGACCAGAGTGGTTTGAACGGCTGTTGTACTGCGATGTGGAAAGCAAATGGAAAAACTACCACATTATCACTTTTCCTGGATAGTCTCTTTCCAAAACCAGAGATACCATGTATGCGAGATGTTTCATTTGAAGGAGAAAGCTCTAGATCGCATCAAGTGGAGGAACTGTTTTGAAGAGACTGTGGACCTGTCGTCTTGACAGATTACTGATGAATGAATGAATCAACAGCGTTCAGACCAGCACTATGACTAATTCGACATCCTAACTAATGTGTACCGGGTTCTTTTTCCCAGGTGATGAAGCGGTCTGACCCTTAACCTGAACACACCTCCATCTAACGCAGTCTAAGGCATGAAATTTCTTCATCCGCTCAAACATTAAGATCGTGGGTTCGAATCTCACTCAAGCATGGATATCTGTTTCTGTTTATTCTGTATATGTGTTAGGTAGCGGCCTTGCGATGGGCTGATCCCCCGTCCAAGAAGTCCTACCGACTGTATTAAATTAAGGATCTGAAGTGAAACTTAAAAATTTCACGCCAGCTCTATGCTCCAAGTGGGAGCAACAAGAATAGAAGTAGAAGAAGAAGAAGAAGAAGAAGAAGAAGAAGACCTTTTCTCCATGTACCAATTACATACCCTGATATAGTCCCCAGTGTTCTGCTCTGATTAACCAGGGCATTTAAATAAAGCAACACTGAGAACGTATGTAAGATTTGAGGCTTTCACGGCGGTGACTATGAAGAAANGTTTCTTCAACACTGAGAACATCTCCACTTGAGGAAGACGAAAGGAAAATCAGACAAGACTCATTCAAATAGAAGTGGAGTTATGTAAATAAGCGACCAAGTAGCTAACTACTTATCTATACAGGCAACTATGTACCTAACTCCTTGCTATACAGTCCTCTGTAAGTAGAAACAATGCGTTTAAGCCCTCAATAAGTTAGCGTGCCATATAAACAGTGCGCTGGCTGAGGAGTTAAACTCTACTGGAGAATAGTGCCGTTAGGTGAAAACCGCCGTCAGCCATACACGGTCAGACAGACTGCTATGGTGGAGTTCATGTGAGCATCTGGCCGCCTGTCACTTCTCACACCCTCGAACCCACCCTCTTGTCTGAAATTTTTCTTCTGCGCATTCAAGGTTACTCTTGGCCTTGTTCGAAGTTACGTGACACTTGCTTTAATTTGCATTGAGGATACAAAGTACAAATTTACACATTTTAAAATCAACGACCGTGTCGTTACCTTGTCAGTGATACACGATTCTAACATCACTGATTCTTCATAATTTAATATAAGAAGTCAAAGCACCGCAGTATTAGTAACGCCTACAGTTCTGAACCGTTCTAAATCTGGAAGCACGCGCGCACGTGTGTGTTTTGGGGGAAAGGGGGGCGGGGGAAGCGAGGAATATTTGAGGATTAATTTTGAACTGAAGTGGAGCCTCGTGACATCTATCACTATACAATAAGAGAACTCTTTGTGTACGGTGACCAGTTACCAGATATTAATATAGACCAAGGAATATTGTTACTTACGCAACAAGTTAGAAGCAGGACCGGTATAGAGTCAGTTCAGTTAATCAAGAGTTGCTGTATCTGAGGCAAGGGAACAGTTCGGCAACTCAGTGGAAGGGGAACGCCCGCCGTTGAAAGCCGTTACTAGGTAACGACTGGTGAAGTGACAGACTGAGAAGATTTAAGTGTTTACTGTAGCGAGGTAGCGTAGTTGGTTGTGAGGCACTATGCTACAAGCCGGAAGGTAGCGTGTTGAAGTCCCAATGAGGTCACTGGATTTTTTCAATTGACTTAATCCTTCCAACCGCACTATGGCCCTGGGGTCGACTCAGTCTCTAACAGAAATGAGTACCAGGAATATTCTTGGAATATTCTTGGCGGTAAAGGGCGGCCAACGCGTAGGGCTGACAATCTTGCCGCCATCTATGAGCCAGTTGTCTAGAAAATGTGAGAACCTCAACATCTCACAACCCTATGGGCCTCCACAGCTCGTTACAGGGATAGCTTTACTTTTTTTACTTTTACTTACTGTAGTGAATTGCAGAGTGTGAATTATGAATAGCGCTATATTTACTTCTTGTTACGAGTTGTGCGTGCAATCAATCCATTTACCAATCATAACCCCACATATAATCAATCACGTGACAATATGTACAGATCTTCCAACAGCTTTCTCCAGCTTGAAATAACTACATGCACACTAAAAATTTGTTACTGCAAATTCTGATGTGTGATCCTTGATGTTTCGTCTTTAAAAGGAATAGTACCACTTCACTCACACGAAAGAACATTTTGAACAATTTATTTCCACCAAAAATTATATTAAATTGCGAAAGCTGGTAGAGAAAATGTACCGTGGCAGTAATGAAGACTGACGCTGATTGGTTTAACTCTTACCACGTGACAACCCTTACTGTGGCGTAAGGATGGGTTCCTCGGCTTCCTGCTTGAACTCTGAGTAATTTGCTTGACACAATCTTGGAATTCTCGAAGGGAAAACTAAAACCGCTATCAAACAGGGGGTTGAATGCTGGGAAACTATGAAATATGAGAGCTGGGAAACTGCAAGAGCTGGGAAGAACGAACAAAAAAATTGTCTTAAATTTAGCTTAAACGCAGGTGACTATATGCAACTTATACCGCGCTGCTGATGCTTGGTGTGTTCTGTTTGTTGCCACGCTACACGTGCTGCACTGTAATTATCTTTACAGAACCCTCACAAGTCTGTTTATCCAGATGAAATAAGTGCTGTTGTAAATAAGAAGCTGCCGGTCACGGTAGCCGAGCGGTCTAAGGCACGCACTGTCTTCGCTCGCTTGGAAACCGGGATAGTGGTTTCGGATCCCACTCAGGGCATGGATGTTTGGTGTTTGTGTATAGGTAGAGGCCTTGTGACGAGCTAATCACCCGCCCAAGGAGTCCTGCTGAATGTCTAAGATCTACTAAATCTAAGTGAAACGGAGAGTTTCATGGACGTAGGCCAAGGTGAAAATTGGGGCTCTAGCACGAAAAAATATATAAGCAACTGACTGGTTTCTTTGCTCACAGAATTTCCTGTTCCGAAAGTGCAATTGCTGCAGTAATATCCGAAGATAAAAATGGGAGAATAGGGCGAAAAACCCGTTTTCCCCGCGGAAACAGTAAAGATTAATGCTTTTTCAGTTGGTTACGTGCATGTATTCTAGAAATATTTGGAAATTCTGCAGAGGACCGAGACATAATATGTATTTTTTTCCCCTTTGGCTCTACAGCCCCAATTTGGGCCTTGGTCTACCTCCATGAAGCTCCCCGTTTCACTTCAGTTTACTAGATCTTACACATTCGGTAGGACTCATTGGGCGGGTGATCAGCTCGTCGCAAGGCCTCTACCTGTAGACAAACACAGAAAAAACTCTTATCACACACACACACACACACACTAAATATCTATGCCCTCAGTAGAATTCGAACCTAAGATCCCGGCTTCCGAGCAAGCGAAGACAGTGCATACCTGAGCCCCCTCGGCTATCGTGACCGGCCGTAATATGTATATCACTCGGTAATAAGTACAGTTCTAAATGTATTTACCTGCTGCAGCATGAAACTCGATTTGGTGGTCATTTCAGTTGATAGAGCTGGCAACTCGAGTGAAGTTCAATCCTGAGTATACTCAATCCACTCTGGGAACGAGTGTCATAGACACAATAAACTTACTGATCCTGTTTTCAACATACTTTCGATATTTATACGCTAGTGGGAATTACGAACATATTGTCACGTGTATGAGTGACTATATGCTGGGTACACAGTGCTAATTGTATTTATTGAATACCTACAGCTCGTAGCTACACGTAACTACGAGTATAGCGCTGTCACTAATTGACACACTCTACAATTCACTGCAGTACGTACTAAATCTTCTCAGTCTGCTGTATCTTCACCGGTTGTCGCCTGGTAACGGCTTCCAACGCCGTAGCTTTCTCAGCTTCCGTGTTCATGCTTTTACTGGCCAGCGATTGTCACACAATTAACTAAACTTTAGAATTGTTCTGATTATAACACACATCGGCAAGAACCGCACAGAAAATATTTCTTCCAACAGTTCTAATTTTGCGTCACGCAGCTGTCGCACGGACCACATAAAGAACACCGCTTCCCACGTACTTAATTGGTGCGAGTTAAGAATCTATTGCGGCCATTACTTACCAGCGGCTGTTGAATAGCTGCTTATTTCGCGGTTGTTGCCTAGCACCGGGTTATATTTTTCCTTAAAGGTGCCTACACAAAGTACAGCGTACTCTAGTTCGTAAGTTTGATTGACTATAGCATGCTAGAGATGCAGCTTTGGTCTCAGCCCAACTGTACACCTGACAGTAAGGTTTCTGTACTCACCTCTCCTGTGAGCCGGTGCGTATATGTTGAGGTACAGACAGTCTTCACTCTGGTTGTGTTGCAGGTACGGGAAGAGCCTATTGAGGTAGCTGACACGGTTCGCTGTCATGACGTTCTTCTTCTTTTGATTTAAATCTGGCAAGTTTTGGGGGCAGACAGGACCGAAATTGTGAGCGAACTTGACGCCCATCCACTGGGGTGGAGAACCCGGAGGCATGAACCTCTGCGATCCTGTAGGAGCCGCCGCGTAAGGTATCCCCAGAAACACTTCCACCGGCCTCAGATCAGGGTTTGATGTGGACTGAAGGCGCAATCCGACAAGTTTGCCCTGTTTAATTTCGACTTCTCGAGTCAGCGTTCCTTCACTGTTCGTGTCGTATATAATCCCTGCTGACACGGCAGATGAGATGAAAATGCAGACACTTAACACGACTAGTGAAGGAGATGCAAACGTGACGAATTTAAAGAGAGTCAAAAGGAAATACAGCAGTCTCGCTAGTTGATTCAGTAGTGCCATATTGGGAAGATATGAGCCTTACACACAGTTTCTGGTAAACCCGTTCCTTATAAACCCCTTCAGTAGGCCTCTTTTCTGAAATTGTTCACCCCGCAAGTTGCTCGGTTTCAGAGCTGTCCACTTCTGAAAGTCACACTGCTATGTGCTACTTCAGCACTGTCTTCGTTTCTTTGTTTTTTTAATTCGGCACTGTTGATCGATTTCGTTATATCGCTTTTAAAGTTTACATTTTTGAGGCTGTGTTTGCCTCACTGAAGTAGGTCTTACTCAAGATTTCCCACTTTGCAATGCACTTCCGTTTTTCACAACTCTCTCCACTTCGATCGTCATATTTAACTCACACACTGTTTGGAGCATACAGAGAATTTGTTTCAAGTCACTCTCTTTGTGATCTTGTATATTTAAACGTAAATTTAACTGATGTAAGTAATTCATTATAACCGTGAGGTGCCCTTATAGAGTTATATATTTTTTAATTTTGGTTCTATTGTCAATTTTCGGTGCTCTACTTGGCCCTGACCCATTCTCAGATAAGTAATTGAAAATAACTGGGAAAATGTTCTTGTTTACTTGAACCATAGAAGGTTCGTTGCCTCAGTTGTTACAACGCAGAACACTGTAGGGATTGTACAGAGATTACAGTAAAATGGCAGATTTTAGACAAATGTTATCCAAGGCGGCGAATATATAATTCAAAATATATATGCATAATAATATGCATAAATCGTTAGTACGTGCAATTAACTTTCAGAGCTAAATCATTTTCAATTACTCTGTAACAGTAAGAGTTACAAGGATAGACACTGAAAGAAGTGTACATTTTGTGTACATTTACCATTTTCTTTTGATGTTCACATAAAATTCAAAATTGTACAAAATAATTCCGAAGTAAGTTTCGTAATAACATATGTACATCATGTAAAGAGAAAAAGGAAGGGAAGACGATTACAGGGCTGTTCTCTTTTAAGTTGGACGCACTTTTTACTGTGTTAGAAAAACAGAGTGAAGTAAAGATATAAAATTAAAAACTTAGGGAACAAACCGTAAATTCAGAAAGGAGCCAAAAGTCCTAAACGGTATTATTTCTTTAGTGACTACTTATCTATTTCAGATTCTCTACGTAATCTGCAGTAATTAAATTTTCATAGTTACTCTTTCATATGTAATTGGATTCATTCTGTATAATTCTGCTACCGAGACTGATAAATTTGCTGTTTATTCCTTGCATTATTCTATATGCCTTCATCTATTTTATATGATGTCAATATTTGAGTCATTTCCATATATAATCCAACTGATCTTCTTAGAAAGAAATTGCAAGAAGCTTCGGCCGTTGTATTACTCCTTCAACTGATTTCCTTCCGCCATCATATTCACGTAAGAGAGAGAGAGAATTGTTCTCAAATAGTTTATTTTTCTTCAAATGTCGTGTAATGTTTAAAATTTTATTCTCAATGCACTGTATATTTCTGTAAATGAAAAGAACTTCTCTATATGTTTCATTCAACAACATGCCGCGGTTGTGGGGGGGTGGCCAAATAAACATTGCTTTAATGACGCCCTCATGTGCGAAGAGAAGGAACCCTGCATCCATGTCTTCGGTAGCTCAGACAAATAAACGTATGTTACAGCTACTTCAAGGCCTGCATTATTTTCTTCTGGTATTACCGTCACCTGTTGCTGGCTAATAATATTGATGGTATTAATAATTATTTAATTAACAATCATGTGATTTGAGAAATGAATACGTAATTCAGCCGAGAAACTTGAAGGAAAAATGCGCTTTGGAGGGACAGAGAATATAAAAGGGAACAACGTGAGAATACATTTTCTGCGGAGGAGCTATTTAACGATATTTTCGATAGTTACACTACATAATGTCAAAAGGCAGGATGAGGGAAACGTTACTTTTATGTATGTTGTCGTGGCCTAATATAGGTTCTCTCCAGTCACTCTCTTGGAGCGACTGAAGTGCCCCACGGACAACCTGAGTCAGGATAGCTAGGGTTCCGACAGGGATTCGAAAGGAACCCTCCCGACTTTATGTTTCGACGTCAGCGCTACGGCAACCCATGTAACGTATCTTAAGTGCCGTTAGTGTAGGAACTAGACGAAAGTTACTCAAGATGTGGTCCAATGGTAGAAAGCCGGGGTAGCGCACTTGGTATAGCGACTGGCTACGGGATGGACGAGTGAGGGGTCGAAGTTTGAGTCCCGGTGGGGCCAATGTCGCCCAGACAGGCTCTGGGGGTACCCAGCCTCCTGTCCAATGTGTATCGGAGATGTTTCCCAGGAGGTAAAGCGGCAGTGGCGTGAAGCTGGCCACTCACATTCAACTAGTGCCAAGGTAAAAAGAAAGTGGTTCTATACATCCACTCCCCCATAGGCCTTCATGACGTGGTGCTCAGTTACTCAAGCACAAGGAAAGCTTCTCGTTTGCCTTAAGGTCCAGTGGTGGGATCTTGTATCCACTTCAACTTCCGGGTTACATAGAAGCGGGAAATAGTTTGACCAGCTAAGTGACCGTTTACTTCTTAAGAACGTTTCCGTTCTATGTAGTTCGTTAGTCGCTTCAGCATAATTAAGAGTTCGTACTTCTAAATAGTTTCGCAGTAGGCTTTATTTCTCAAAAATCTGATTTACCCAGAATGCTAGAAGTTAATATCTCAGGGTTTGGCCTGCTTAATATGAACTCATCATTATATGAAGTCATCCAAACGCCTCATAAAATGCCAGTAACAGAGAAATGGTTGTGGTATTGTGGCTATTACAGGCCGTGTAGCAAGTGGAACCCGGCACCAAATGAGACGGGACCCGATGGTTTGAACTCCATTTGCATATTTAAGTTGCTTTTCCTGTTCATTACTCTGGAAGTACTAAGCGAAAGCTCAGTGATGGAGAAAAGAACACAATTTTCTTTCTCTTTGGTTACAGTTTCAAAATCTGTGACATATTCTTCTAATTTTTCTTATGATTTAAATAATTGACTCCCTCGACAATATGAACGCAGGAGAAGACCGGCAGCTCATTGAATCTGATAACAATGAAGTATCTGTCTTGCTACTTTAAAAAAAATCAGATAATTTCATGTCAATTTTATTCTTGGATTTAAAAATGATCTGGCAAATCTGAAAACGTTGCAGAGAGTGACGTCAGAGATATAACAACGCTTGCATTTGCTACTTGTGTAACCGACTGGGAATGCCAAGAAATCGTTAATGACATTGTTTTCCTTGACAGTATTAATCGGCAGTGACTCATCTTAAGATGCAGGTTTACTGGGTAAATTCTTGTCTAAGATGGAAGCCTCAGTTCTTAGAAGAGTAGTACAGTCATTTAGGCAATACTTATATTTCAATGGGATGTTTACACTAGTCGTTTGTGCTCTAGTTTTATACAATAATGTAGTCATTTGCGTTATTAGTTCAAAGCGTCCAGACCAGCCCTGCTGACCACGCAGCCTCCTATCCACTGAAATTTGGGGCTTATTCCCGAGGATAAAGCGGCCTGGGCGTGAAGCTGACCACACATCTCCATCCATTGCCGAGGAAAAGAATGTTGAAACTATACGCCGTACGTTTTCATGTCACAGTGCTTAATTAATCACAGGGACAATTTTATCTTTACCTTTATGAATCAAAGTTGGGAATTGCTTGTCGGTTTGTCGCCATGTAGGTTCTGTGGAAAACACATGTAAAACTAATCACATTCAGTTGCGATATGACCCGAGGACGACAGTAAAAAACTGTAATGTTTCAGTTTTTATTCCGGTGTCGTTACAAGTTATTACAGTGAGGATTCTTGCTAACAAATGTACTTGTCCATTACAACTGTAATGCCTATTCTATTATTATTTCGGAAATCCTCAAGTTCTCAGCTTGCATTTTGAGCGAAATGCTCATTTCAGAAGGTCTTTCAAGCGCTGTGTAGTGTAAGAGCAATTCAATGGAAGTGTTATTTGTGGAAACTGCAGTTAGTAGTGGGAATTGACAAGTTTCCCAATTTAATACTAATCGAAATTTGCACTATTCTTGACCTAAGCAATAGTTGGAAATGAGTGGTCAGCTTCACACCCCAGCTAGTGAAACCCCGGGAATAAAACCTCCGGATGTATTATATTGGAGAGAGATTGGGCCTCAGAACCTTCCTGGACGACGTTCAGAGGAGAAAAACTTCCCTACTGGGACTCGAACTCCGAACCCTCGTCCGCCCAGCCCTTATTACTAACCCGGCTCCCCAATATATGGGCATAAAGAACATGATTTTGTTTTGAAGTGACAATATATTTCATTATATTGCAGTTTTTAACAGACTGAAGATCGAATTTCCAGTGAATAATATTAAAAAGTGTTATTTCCCAGAACACAAAAAAGACCCTTCTTCTCCATTATGAAAACCCTCTGAATAATTCTATCAGGGAGGCAGTCGCTGTTTGTAGCGAGAACCATACGAAAGAATAACTAAATTCTGGGGGGAAATTCTGGAGATTTCGTTGTTAAATTCAGTGGGTCATATAGTAACTGTGTACGTTGAGGGGGTGAAATATAAATATTACTCATAAAACTAATCATTCGCATAATTTTGTAACATTGTAACAGAAAAATCTCCCCTTCACTAGTTACTCGACAGCACGGTGTTAAATATTAGCTGGAATTCGTACAATTGCGGTGTTAATTATTCATTAATAATTAGAATCTGATATTGGAAATTGAATATAGAGTAACGTCATGCTTACGTACTGGCCTGTTAAAATATTGCGCTAGGGCTCGTGTTTATACTAACATTTGCATTTATAATTATGTAATTAATAAAGTAAATAATATGGTTATATACTTATAACATATATTTGTGTGTGTCAATATTACGGGTTTATCGACTGAATATGCGTGATATATTCCTCTATGTAGTTAATCCACTGTTAATATTTTAGGCACAAGCAAAACAAGTTTCTGAAAGAAATTCTTTCCTGTGACATAGTTAGAAAAACCTTCATATAAAATTTAAAGAAACATAAAATAATTAATTAATAACTTTTAGTTGCTTGCGTATGAAGTGTAATCATAAAATGGTGACCTATACATACAGCAATATAAGTATATTAATTATCAAAGAGTTCTAATTCAATACTGAGAAATGTGAGATTTTATATAAAACCTATTCCGAAATCTGTGTTCTCTCGACGAAGCGGAATATTACGGAAAACTTTCTTCACGAAGATCACGCACTCCTTTCGAAGGAAATCTTCCAAAACAATACAGAATCTGACACAACGGAAGATATGTCACCTGGTTGCACTTTATCACAGTTGAGCACTTGTCGCGACACTACGGAGACGCCGTCAATTGGGAACTGAACGCAGCTACCCAAACTTCTCTTCACCGAGCCAAAATTATGTGTTGGTTCGACCAATAAAGTGATGCTCAGCCGGGCACAGCACTCCGAGTTCCAACACTAAAAATAGTTCCCCTCTTTTCAACTCGCCTGTCTACATATTAAAGGGATAAGGGTGCTCACACTTTGCTGCCTATTCACAACTTCGGATGTCTGTTCGACGCTGTAAGCATGGGTGCCTCGAGGGGTGTGGGCCTGCCAGAATATTTGTTCACAGACTTAAGTTCAATCCCTTAAAGTTTAATTTTAAGAGACCAGTGTGTAGTATGTGATATTTACTGTTGTGTAGAAGATAAAAAGCCAAAGGTAAAGGTATCCCTGTAACAGACTGTGAAGGCCCGTAGAGTTGTGAGATGTCGAGGCTCTCAGGTGGCGGTGAAGTTGTCGTTCATACGCGCCGGTGGCCCTTTACCCCCCCAGAATATTCCTGGTACTCATTTCTGTTAGAGGCTGAGTCGACCTCGGAGCCGTAGTGCGATTGAAAGGACTAAATCAACTGAAAAATCCAATGATCTCATCAGGATCCGAACCCGCATAGTGCCTTAACCCACTACTCTACCACGTGCCCCACTTGCTGTCGTCTACTTTTGTTTCTTGTATTGTAGTTGTGTGTGCTGTAGTTTGTTCGTGCGTCGCGTGTTATATTTTATGTGTTGTGACACTGTACGTGTATTATAACTTCCGCTGAGTAAAAACCAATTTGCAGTCAAATACATAAAGTTACAGTTGTGGTGCTTTATATTGAAACATTTAGAAACAAATCTTTTTGAAATTTGCTACTTCCTGAGATGTGTCTCTGTGTAGTCGTTGAAAGTCCACCGACGTTTCGGAGCAAGATGTCGCGTGCCTGCTGCATGTTTCACGCTGAGTTTTTGTTTAGCTTATTCTTCGACACTGGAAATAGAGGCGATATGGTCCTTCCGAACATCAACTGGCTTTCAACTGACTACAGGTCGTTATATCACAGAATCATAAGCACCTCTGTGACGTTGTATGTATTGTGTGCTAATGTCTCCTATATTTCCTTCCATTGCAAATTTCCAGTTCTTTTAAACAATCCATGGGAGGAGGCACTTAAGGGCGTCCAGAACAAGTCATAAGGAACTATGTACATAAAAATTCGTCATCCTTGAGGAGCTGAGTCACTCAGATATCACTGCTCCGTATGCTGGGCCAAATGGACCAGTCCACAATCTCCAAACCTATTTCTTTAGGGCCCCTTTCAATACTCTTCTCCCATCGGCTAAATCTTTCAAAGACTGTGTTCTTCAGATGGTCTATTCCCTTCCGGTTTCCTACAAAAATGTCCGTTTATATGTCTTTCATGTATGCTGTATGTCCAGCCCATCTCATTCCCCTTCATCAAGCTAATGATATTCACTGGAATGTATTACAGATTATACAGCACTTCATTGTACAACAGTATTCAGCTTGCTCTGATATACGTCTTGGAAAGCTGAAATACGTTTTCACAGTCGCCATATTGAAATGGAAAGCTCCCTGAATGTGTTTCCACACGACTCGTTTTTCTACTTCAGTTATTCCTCTCCGCTATTCTCCCCCTCTTTATCCAGTCTTCATGTTCATCTGCATATTCATCCTTTATCTGCGGTTTATTTTCCTCGAAGTCTTCCTTTCTCTTCCTGTTCCGTTCGAAAGATTATTTTGTATCTTTAATTATGGTTTTCGAGTTTCCTGGGTTATCTAACACCAGAGCATAAGGCCATTTGTGAATGCTAAGAGGGGAAGAGCGTGAAGGAAGTCATGGCCTGTGTTAAGGTACCACCATTGAGAATTCTGGAAGGGTCTGAGTAAAACTACAGAAGCATCAGGATAAACAGGATGTCTTCTTCAGTTCTAATTTACATTTTATCCGCTCCTGAATTTGTTGTTCTTAAGACGAAACTAAACTGAACTGTCAGGACACAGTAAGGCTATTAGAACACCTGCAGACGAAATGTCTTGAGCAACGGTTTTGCCCATCGGAGCATTTCGAAAGCACTCCGAAGCATCTTCCTCGATTATTATGGTTGCAGCTTAAATGTACTTCCTGTCATTCATTTTCTTTCGCTCCTTCTAGAAATCTCTTTTCTTTCCCTTCACTCTCTCTTTCGTCATTTCCGCCTCTCGTTTTCTGTATCAACATCTGTAACTTATCGACCATAATTGCTTAGTCCTTCCTGTGTGTCTTCTCCTTTCAACTTCTTCCACGTATTATCCTTTCCACTACATTCTCTTATCTCCGTCTCTCCTGTTTCTTACTTTTTCCATATCCTTGTCTACTATTTAGCAGTGCTGACTGATTATCTCTTGACACAGTTGAGATGTTCTTAACAGAAACAGAGGATCTGGCTATCATTAAGCTGTTCTGATGACTCAGACGAGTTTGTTTAGACCGTTAAATAACAAACAACTCAACGTGTACACTCCGCAGAGAAACAGAATCTCTCCTTAAATGATTGTGTGACGTTAGCAGGATTTTTGCATTACAGACACTTTAAAAAGCACATATAACTTGAAGGCTGACATACGGTACTTGGAAGTGCAACCGAGGTTAAATTCGCGCTGGCAGTGGCATTCTAAGTAGCAGCTCCGACATCGATGCCCACAAAACCTCTAATATCCCCTTTCCTTTCCAAAGCGAGGTTGTTGAGCGCTCATGAGTGTGACTTAATTACACAGCTTGGTTGTCATATCCCACGGTCATGTGTAGGCCTTCTGTATACCGATGTGACGTAGGCTTCCGTCTAACTATGTGCGTACCTAACACAGACACATACAGGCCCTGCCTACCGATACAGTCGTCATCTTCCGTTACATTAGTCTAATCTTATCTCTGTATATTTTTTTAAAATTGAAATATAGCGGTGAGATGATCTTGAATAGATGGTTGTCATACCACTTTCCGGTATCCACGCGAACGATAAATGAAGAGCGCATTAATGCATGGCGTTGCTAACGTCGATTATTTGGAATATTAAAAGTAACGCTTTCATCAGTTATTACTATAGGCAAATGGAGAAATCTCTTTTGGGCAAGTGCACACGTATCTTTACGCACAATTACATTCTCTCTACATTTATATAACGATATAGACTTCTTTTCCGAACTTGTTCGGCTCAAATCTCGACAGGAAACTGAATATCCTGAACTTTTTATGATATTCCACCTTTCTGTAGGGCACATTCGACGATAATTCCTCAATTGTGCTAAGACATCTTCCATTGAAATCCAATCAAATACATTAGTCGTGATTCGGAGCAAGAAGAAGACAATGGCAGGTCCTTATATATTTACGTAGGTTGAATGGACCATACATCGCTTTTGATTCATTGCGAGTCCTATAATTTTGACATTTTCTGTACGAGTGTGCATGAGCTTCATAGTAGAGTGAGTAGCGTTTTTGATTCGTGTAATCGAGAAGTGTGTGACTAAAATTTGTGTCCGGAAACCCGCTAACATATTCGGGATTTTCCACAGTAGCCCCATAGTCGCTGTAGAAAATTGCCAGAATGTTAACTACGCTCCATTAACCATTCCTACCAAACCCTTTCAATTCATTATGGCATCATTCGACGATAAATGATCAGAGAAATAGGAAGCGTCTTTAGGTAAACAAACACTTGAGAACCAATTAAATATATACATTTTTTAAACGTAGGTTTAAGAAGCGATTAACATTAATCACTTGCTAATATGCATTGTGATATTTTAAATGGAAAAACAAATTTGGAATTAGGAGGAAACGTGAAGTGCAGAAGTGAAGTTGCAGAAAGGAACATATGTTTGAGTGAATATTTATGAATGTCCATACCGACAGATATTCCGAAAGATTTTTGATATTGTCACCTCTAACTTGTAGGGTCTAGAGTTAACTTCTGGTTAAATATAATATATAAGTATTATATCAGGAGCCACTGGATATTTTCTTTTAACAAAGAGCAGTTCGAAATACCGTATTTTCGTATGTTAGGAAATTCGAGTACGCATGGAGTGGGAATTGACGCACTCAAGATTATAAATGATCTAGGAATGCTAAACTGGGCTACTTGCCAGTGGCGCCACTGCTCTTGGATGTATTTGTGTTACATAAGAGCTTACTGCACTCGTCGTGAGGTATTGTCTGCAGTGTGTTTACTCGCCGTGCTACACCCTGTTAGTCAATCAGAACACATCTCCTATACAATATTCTGTACTTTACAAGAATATATATTGTAACGGATTTCATCAACGCGTTGCCAGGCAACAGCTCTGTAAACACAGTCCGTTGCTAGGTTACAGAACAATGGAGGAGGCTGTGTTTTCACACGGGGGATAGTGATCACATGACATGTTTACTGTTGGTCGATGTCCGTCCCTCGGCCCTGTATATATTTAATACATTTATTATCATGTTTACCATGTAAAATGTAAATATACTTTACATTATGACAAATGACTTACTACTGCAGACAATGACTCTGACAAAAGACAGACCCTTCCTCTCGTCAGAGAGGGCACCCCACAATAAGAAGACCTAAACTGTCAAACAGTAATAAATATCCGATCACGAGCTCCAGATTGGGCTCGACGCCAAGATTGGCTGACTGACTGACCGTCAGTCGCAATGTGACTTTCACTTTGACTTTGACTAAGCTGGCAGAAATAGTGGCGGCGGAAGCACGCTAACGGAGCGAATTGCGACTAGGAGTACAGAAGAGTACAGGAGGTCGGCCTGTGAAGATTTAACGCGTGACTTGAAGACTTTATTTGTGTGTAATATTTGGAGAGCGTGATTCAGTGAGACTGGTATATTTCCCCTGTTATAAGCCCGTTAAAACTAGTGCAGATAGACTGAAGAGAATAGTGTGGAGTGATAATATATCGTGTAAAGCAGCAGTAGTGAGATAATTAATTGTAGTTTCGACCTGTATGTTAGTAATAAATCCAGTTGTCAATCCA